TGGCTGGTGGGTTTGAACCACCAGCCGTCTGGTTAGCAGGCAAGTGTCTTAGCCACTATGCTACCAGAGCTCCCTGGTTGCCCTGGGTATTAATCGGCAGAAGTGGAGAGATCAAGGAAACGGAAGCAGAGCTGCCTCAGCCTTAAGGGTAGGACCATGGCCTTTGGGGGAGGAATGACCACAGCCCCCTAGGTTTCAAAGAACCCGGACTTCACCAACTTGATTCTGGAGTGTGGGGCTGCTCGTTCGTGTGAGCCAGTGGGATGGAGCAATCACCGCTGCCCAAGAGTGAGAAGGCGGGGCTGCCATGCCCAAGAGGGAGAGGAACAGGCCCTGCCAGGCCAAGGGGTAAGGTCACCATTCAGGAACTAGGGGACTGGAGCCACCCAGTGGAGGAGACCTGTACAGATACCACCCATTGAAGATCTGTACAGGTGCCAAGTTGACAAGGGGTGGAATTGTGGTGGTTATGTTTGTGTGTCAACTTGGCTGGGCCTGGCTGAGTTGGCTGGGCAGCTGGTGGTAGTTAATCCCCGTGAGGAGACTGGCAATCAGCTCCATGGTGGGATCTACCACAAGCAGCTGGGTAGCCTCCAAATTGTAAGAATAAACTCCTGTTTGTTTAAGCCATCCCATTTGTGGTGTATTTCTCGTCAGAGCGGCACTAGGTAACCATAACAGTAGTTATTCAAAAATTACTCATTTTGCTCTATTTATAAAAAACAAAAATCTTGTTCACAGGGACAATAACAAAATCTTCAAACTTTCATATTCTACTTTTAACAATGCAAGTACCACTGGACAGCGATTACATCTTTACTTTGCTTGAATATATAAATATCATTATTTTTACAACTGAAGTAATGAAAGCCTTGAGTATTAAGCAGATTACACAAAAAAAATCACTTCTCATTTATGAGTTATAATTTAATGTGGTTATTATATCTACGTTAATGTGTAACACACGGCATCTTATTGCTAAGCACTATATTTTAATCTAATAATAGTAGCTATAATCTTCTGAAACGTGCTTCGTGAATCAAAGCTATAATGTGTTCATTGAGGATTTGAGTTAACACTTCATGAGATCTAGATCTATCACAACTAGCTGCAACAGGACAAAGGATGACAGGAAAGCTTTTAAGGAGCTAAAAAAGGCAAAAGACAATTCTTTTCCATGCTAAGTGGAACATGTAGATGACTATTAGTAGTCTCTTTCATTTACCAAAGAGATTTTAAATTAGCAATATGTATCCACTTGTGGTAACATAGCATGTCCTAGTCCAAACAAGAACACACTGGTATTTTCTACTTCATTGCAGAAGGAAATAGGAAACTCAAAAGACCTTCTTTGAATTTTATAAAGAAGGATGGGGGTTCAGAATAAGTTTGTATAGATGAGTTCAAGAGAAGCACTTTGCATTTCTATACTAAACAGAGAAAGGATACATCCATTACATTGGCAAAAACAGGACTTCAACAGTCATCATAGCCCATATACATAAATTCTATATAAAATTCCTATTTTTTTAGGGAACAATATGTTTTGTAATTCATTTTTGTCAAAGAGCAACCTTTATGCAGTGGGAGTTTCTAACTTAGCTTTATAAACATATATTAAGCACTTGCTGTGTGGCAAGCACTTCATAGAGATAAATTACCATACAATACCATACCATATCATATAAGCGCTGAAACAGCAAAATATGAGAAGGCTTGGGAAAAAGAAGAGGGAGCAATTAGAGGACTCAAGAACTATGTAACATAGAAAATGATACTTTATGTGGGATTATGGTAAGAAAAGATCAAAGCACAAGACAAGAGGAGAAAATTCTAGCTAAAGAACACCAAAGATGAGAAACAGCCTACTCAGAGACTGGTCGCATGTTCAGTCAGAATAGGACACAGCACATGCTTGGAAGGCATGAAAAGAGGCTGAAGAAACAAGCTGAGAAGGAGATGTGGCTGGACAAGGAGGAGGGATCAGAGGTCCAAAAGAAACAAAACTTTGGATAAGAAGAGCTCATGAAAAGTGGGTCTTCAATTGGAACTTGAAAGATGGTGAATTTTTTCCTGATACACAGAACATTAGGGGAATATTAACTAATGTAAGAACTGCTCTGAATTCCATGGAGATAACATCATAAAATTTAATGTGTTTTCATATCCAATGAGAGAAAACCAAATACTAACTAATTGTTAGAATTATAACAAGTTAAAACACAAATTGTATCTACAACTCTCTAAAAGACCAAGACACCAAACTCACTGCGTGGAGTCAATCCCAACTCACAGCAACCCCTCTTTGGGTTTCCGAGTCTACAGAAGTATACTGCCCAATCTTCCCTCCAAGGAGTGGCTAGTGGGTTTGAACCACCAGCCTTCTGGTTAGCAGTCAAATGCCTTAGGTACTATGCCACCAGAGCTCCTGCCACACCTGTCTAGGCTCCTAGAAATTTCTATGGATTCCATCCAGGAAAGAAATGGAACCAAAACAGTCCATGGCCTGCAGTGTTAATGGCAGAGCACAGTCCTCCACTGACTGTCTGCTCTTTCTAAGAGTTGTACTGTCCAATCTGGTAACCACCAGTCTCTTGTACCTATTTCAATTTAAATCAATTAAAATTAAATAAAATCAAATTAGTTGTACAAGCCATATTCCAAGTGGTCAATAGCCATAAAAAAGTACTGGCTACTATATTGGACAGCATAGTTACTGAACATTTCCATCACTGCAGAAAGTCCTATTGGTCAGCACTCTCCTAGAGTCACTCAAAAACCAAACTCACAGCCACTGAGTTGATTACAACTCACAGCAATCCCCTTTGGGTTTCTGAGGCAGTAAATCTTTATGGAAGTAGATTGCCCAGTCTTCCTTCCATGGAGTGGCTGGTGGGTTTGAACTATCAACCTTCTGGTTAGCAATCAAATGCCTTAGGCACTGTGCCACCAGATCACCTTCCTGCAGTCAATACTGGAGGAGAAACAGGAAAAAAATTCTTAAAGACAAAAAGTCCTTCCAAACTTCTTTGAGATCTTCAGATCACTTCCTATAGCAGTGGTGACACACATCATATTAATAACTTGTCAAACTGAATTCTGATATAAAAAAAAATTAATAAGGTAATTGTGTATGTTCTTCTCTGGGCAAACACAAAAGATACTGGCCTCTAACTCCATCCATAGGTTTCACAACTTTATATCATAGAGTTCTAAAAGAAACTATCCAGTACAGAACTACTAATATATCTGTCAAAATGGATATATTGAATTTTAAAAAAAGAAAAAGAAAAAAGGACTATAATAGATATCTTCTAAAATAGTTACTGATAAAAATGAATGACATTTTATACTTTGAAAGTAAAGCTTACCATTTAAAGGAATCATTTGGAAAATAAATCTATAAAAAGGATTATCATGTCTTATTCAGCTAGAATATCAGAACCTGGCTACTCTTCTTTATAAGATTTCATCTGCCAACTCTATGTTGCTAGAAACAAGCATGAAAAGTTAAGTCCCATGAGATGAATGTTGACCAATAGAAGGCAGATGTTATGTTGGTAAATATGTGCTGATTTCTCTCGCAGATGGATTATCCTGAGACATATACATACTTAGTTTGTTTAGATAAATTGTATTCATGGAAAGTCAATGAGAAAAGGAAAAAGATAAAAATCTAATGGAAAATAAAGAAGAGAGTTTAAAAGGTAAAAAATTGTTAATGGTCTCATTATAATTCCATCTCATTAGTAAACAGAAAACTGCAAATCAAAATCACAATCAGAAATCACTAAACACTTAAGAGAATGGTAAAATTTAGAAAAATAAAAACACCAAGTTATGAACATTGGTATGAATTGGAGTAACTGTCAATTCCATACACTGCTATTAGAAATATAAATCAGTACAACCAATTTAGAAAATGTTTTGGCATTATCAACTAAAGTTGAACATACATATATCTTCAATGTACAACTTCATTGGTAGGTATAGGCCTAAGATAAATCTGTTTACATGGGCACTAGAGATATGTACAAAATGATAATACTACCTTACATTTAGTAGCCAAAATTGAAAACAATCCAATATCGATCAACATTAGGATGATAAACTGTAATATATAGCAATTAATTCTAACAGCATTAAAAAATATAAAAACTGTGTAAATCTCATAAACATAAAATTGACCTTAATGAAGAAGTATGCTAAGTACAAAAACCAGTAAAATAAAATTACTATATTAGAGGTGCTAAAAATTATTAAGAATTATATTTATTTTATGTATAAAAATATTGAACAGTAGGGTAAAAACCCCACAACGATCTGATAAATGGTAACAGTTAGGTCGGTGGTGATCTGGGAGAAGAGAGAAGGGTTAGAAATTAAAATGGAAGAAGATCGGGGGCAACTGTTGAAGGCTGGCAATGTACTATTCCTTGATCTGTGTGGTTGTTACTTGAGTGTTTTCTTCGGGCTTATTAAGCTGAACAGTTTTTTGATTTGTGCACTTTCTATATGAATGTTATATTTCACATGCAAAAAAATAGTTTACCAGGAAAGTAGTCTCTACAAATAAACACCCACAAAACCACTCTCATACATAAGGTTAGATGGCTCCCATTCCATTCCATGCATACCTCCCTTTCAGTCTCTCCCCTCTCTCTCACCCTAACTTACCTCTTGTAGTGCTTTACTAATTAAAGGTGAAATATTGATATTTTTCTCTCCTTCTGCATGGATCTGGAAATTCAATCTTTGATAAAGAATCTGAAATAAGAACAAGATGTATTATATCTTGGTTGAAAAGGAGTTGTGCTTTTACATTTGCATCTCTTCACAATGGAGGCTTGAAATTAAGAAATTACTCTCTTGAAGACAAAAATGCTGTTTTATAATGAACAGTTGTTGGTAAAAAGTTTAATTCAGGATTTCATAAATGGCTTCACAATGATATAAGTTTCAGAACTGGGAGTCAAATGTAAAAGGCCTGCTAAACAAAGTAATGAATGACTATAAACTGACAATGTGCATTTGAGAGTCTCACTTATTATAGCAGTTGTCTCAACAAAGCACTGTTGACATTTTAGCAGGACAAATCTCCCTTGTACAGCTTTCTCCTGTGCATTTTAGGAAGTTTAGCAATTCCCCCCTCCATTTCCAAAACACCACTAAGGAAATGGCAAAACTATAAATATATCTTGTCACTTTCTTTGAGAACCACTAATTTTAACTCAAAAGTTTTCAAACATATTTTACACGGTTATTTCTTCTGTTTTATTTTGTCAACACTGACTTCCACGGACAATATGAAGAATGTGGCATCAGGATTGGAAGAAGACTCATCAACAACCTACAATACACAGACGACACAACTTTGCCTGCTGAAAGTGAAGATGACTTGAAGCACTTACTGATGAAAACTGAAGATTACAGTCTGCAGTATGGATTACACTTCAATATAATGAAAACAAAAATCCTCACAACTGGACCAATAAGCAGCATCATGATAAATGGAGAAAAGATTGCACTGTCAAAGACTTCATATTACTTGGTTCTATGATCAACACCAATGGAAGCAGCAGTCTAGACATCAGGTGATGTACTGCATTGGGCAAATCCGCTGCAAGGGACTTCAAGTGCTGAAGAGCAAAGAAGTTTCCTTGAAGACTAAGGTACACTTGACACAAGCCATAGTATTTTCAATCACCTCATATGCATGTGAGAGCTGGACAATGAATAAGGAAGACTGAAGAAGAGTTGATGCTTTTGAGTTGTGATGTTGGCAAAGAATACTGAAAGTACCATGGACTGCTAAAAGAACTAACATATCTGTCCTGGAGGAAGTGCAGTTGGAATGCTCCTTAGATGTGAGAATGGCCAGACTTTGTCTCACCTACTTTGTTCATGATGTCAGAAGGAACCATTATCTGGAGAAAGATATCATGCTTGGTAAAGTGGAGGATCAAAGAAAATGGGGAAGGCCCTCAACAAGGTGGATTGACACAGTGGCTGCAATGATGGGCTCAGGTATAGCAAGGATTGTGAGGCTGGCACAGGACCAGGCCAGCCTGTTTCGTTCTGCTGTGCTTAAGATCATTATGAGTTGAAGCCACTCACTGGCACCTAACAACAACTACAAAACATCCCTCATTACACTCAACAATGTATTTCCTGATATTACTTACTGTTTTCCTCAAATATGCCTTCTACCTCTCCTTCATTACTATAAGAAAGTCAACATTATTTTATACTCTGATAGCCTCAAATTCCTTTTCACCTATGTGATAAGCTATTTTTCTTCCTTAAAGTAAAATACTCATATTATAAAAAATCAAAAATACATATGTACACTCATACATATACATATATATATGTATACATACACAAACATAAACACATACACACACATATGCCTATATATCTCAGATCCATACACCTAAGAAAATGCAGTTCAGGATTTATTCTACTGGAAGCACTCACTTCTGTCTGCAGAGAAATGCTGGCTGCCAAAAGATGTTCAATGCTGGTAGGAGGGCAATGTGTCAAAGCAAAAGCCATGAGCTCCCGACGAGTGGCCACATCCTGGTAGCCTTCTGATTGTCCTAACTGGCTACAAACACCCCAACTTTTAGAAAAACCTGCAAAATTGCAAGAAAAACCCTGATTACCAGAAGAAGGGAAAAATCACAAATGTAAGATGAGACTGCAATGAATCTCTGTTCAAGTCTGATGCTACCAAAGCAAAATCTCAGTGATTTGTTGACAAACATTATCATACAAGTAGAAAACCATAATAATCTAAGATACAAAAGTAAAGATTAGGCTAGCTTATTATCCAGCAAGTTAAGTGCTACTCCAAACAAATTTTTCCAACAAAGTGTGCTACATTTTAAGCTGACAATGACTACAAATAATCTACTGAGTTGTGATGTTCAATAAACAGCTACAGATCTGAGTTCAGAAGACTTGAGCTTTAGCTTAATGCTGCTACTCAGTACTTGCGTGACTTGAGAAAATTCCAAGTATCATATTTGCATCACTATCACAAAAGAACAATAATAATGCCTTCCTCATTGGGTTATTAAAGGCATTAAATAACATTTATATCTCAATGTACTTAATAAACTGAAAAGTAATGATAATTACTATAGAAAGCTACATAGAATCAGCTCATGTTGTTGTTGTTGTTATGTGCCATCGAGTCAAACCCGACTCATAGCGACCCCTCCTTGGGTTTTTCCGAGGCAGTATCACTACGGAAGTAGGATTGCCCAAGACTGCTGTTTTGTTTTTGACACTCTATCCTTGAGCTTTTATCTAGTTCTATGAGAATCAACTCATCGAACTAGATAAAAGCTCAAGGATAGAGTGTCAAAAACAGAACAGCAGTCCCTGACTCCCACTAGAGATTTTTTTCTTATACAATGTTATACACAGAATTCTCAAATTTACATTTATTCTTATTTGAGTGAGTTCCAAGTACAATAGAGTCCTTTTCTCTCTCTCTCTTTCTCTCTCTCTCTCTCTTCCTGTAGTAGTTAATGTTGTGTGTCAACTTGGCTGAGCAGCTGGATGTAGTTATTCCCCATGGTGAGATTGGCAATCAATTCCATGCTGGAATCTACTAGAGAAGTTGAGTAGCTGTTTTAGGGATGTAGTCTGCTTCCAGTATGTAAGAAGAAGCTTTGAGGAAGGTCTCCAGCTTTTTGGCATGCTTGAAACCCTGAATATAGCCAAGTTGTTGTTCAGCAGCCTGCCATGCCCTGTTGATCTTGGGACTTTTCCTGGACTTGAGTTAGTGGCCTGCCATGTTGTTTGGTAATATTGGGACTGTGCCTTTTTACTTGTCAACCTTGGGTTTGTCAGCCTCAGCAGCTAGCAGCTGCCTGAGTGAAGAAAAACCTCCAGCTTCAGTGGGCCGGAAACAGGAGGCAGAGCTGAACCCAAGGTTGCAGGACTTTCACCCAGCCCCTAGAGCCTGACACTTTGAACTTGGACTTCTAGCCTCCAAAATTATAAGAGAATAAACTCTCATTCGTTCAAGCCACCCATTTGTGGTATTTTTCTGTTAGAGCTGCATGAAATAACGAAAACACTTCCCAAATACAAAAGCTTCAATCCAGAATAATTTCCCTAAGTATGTAAAGTAAAAATTAACCCAGGCACCACTCTTATGGGGATAAAATTATTTATAAACCTATATAAATAAACAATTTTGGATGAATACAATAACCTTCTTCCAAAAAACCATATAACGTAAAAATAGGGTGATTATTATAGGACATAGCTTTTCTATGAAACTCACTTTCTAATGCTGACTATGAAGATTAAGATTTTATTTTTCTTATTTTCTAAATGTTTTTATATAAAATATACAGACACACAAAAAAGTGTGCATATCATAAATGTACAGCTCCTGAGTTATCATGAAGTGAAGCATTGAGTTTATAACCATTCACTAGTAAATTACCACCCCATCAAAAAAAAAAGAACACCAAATCCATTGTCTTTCAGTCAATTCCAATTCATAGTGACCCTACAGGACAGAGTAGAACTGCACCATAGGGTTTCCAATGTGGTAAATCTTTACGGAAGCAGAATGCCACATCTTTCTCCCATGGAGAAACTGGTAGGTTCGAACTATGGATTTTTGGGTCAGCAGCTGAATGCCTTAACCACTGCATCAACAGAGCTTCTCTGTAAAGTACAGATAATGGGCAAAAAGATGTGTTTGAACTTTCATATATTCAGGCACAGTCACAGAAATTAAATCATATAACAGGGAGATAAGTCTATCTATCCTACTTGGAAACATGCTATTTAATAGAGAACTTATTCCATAATAAAATCTGGTTATCCTCCAGAAATCTGAATTTAAAATTCAGAATGGAAAATGTATATTTGAAAATTACCCTATTTCTCATCATTAGTTTGAAAAGTGCTATATTATCTGGGGAGTGTGGGGGGGGAGAGATCAAAGAACCAAAATATCGACTACATAGTAACAAACTGTAAATACATCAAAAACTCTAAATTTTCTTTTATATGATAAATACATGAAATGGCATTAGAACAGTTTACATAAAAAAAATACTCTTGATACTATTCTAAAAAGACAATGAATAGCATACCAAAATCAGATAAAATATAGCCCGAACTGAATAAAATATTTATATTAATATAAGCACATGGCATACAGATTTATCAATGCTCAAAAAAATTTTCTCAAATCTTATAAACAAAATGTAGCTGGCTTACGAATCAGGCCAGATGATTTCAGAACAGATCTTTTCCATTATTCATCATTTAAAGAGGACACGAGCAAAGTGTTAAAAAAAAAAAAAAAAAAAGTTGTCTACTTCACCTGTAGCCATCAGCTCCTGACAATGCATAGTGGCTGCTTTGTAGTCATGGAAATGAAGCGCTTGCTCTACTAAAAGAATTAGAATCCGTCCTCTTCTTTCTTCTGAGTTGTCACCTGTAAAAACATGCAAATGATTACAGGAGAATCGATTGATAAAAGAGTAACACGTTTTTCAAATTAATTCAAAATTAAAACAGACAAAAGTGATTTTTAAAAAGATTAAAGGAAAAAAGGTCACAGCAACTTTGACCTTCCAATTTACTTTATTAAGACCAAAGACCCCTAAAAGATCGCTGTGGTAGTTAAGGTTGAGTGTCAACTTGGCTGGGCCTGGTTGAGTGGCTGGGCAGCTATGGTAGTTATTCCCCATGATGAGACTGACAATCGATGGTGGGATCTGCCACAAGCAGCTGCAGCTGAGTAGCTGCTTTAGAGATGTGCTCTGCTTCCTATATATAAGCAGTAGTTTTGGGAATGGTCTCTAGCTTACAGCACACTTGAACCCTGTATGTAGCCAAATCGTTGTTCAGCAGCCTGCCATGCTCTGCCAATCTGGGGACTTTCAATGGACTTGAATCAAAGGCATGTCATGTTGTCTGGTAACATCGGGACTGTGCTGTTTTATTTGTCAAACTTGGCCTTGTTAACCTCAGCAGCCAGTACCTTCCTGAGTGAAGAAAAGCCTCTAACTCCAGTGAACCAGGAGCAGGAGGCAGAGCTGGACGCCAAGGCTGAGAGGCTTTCACCCAACCCCTAGAGACTGGCACTTTGAACTCGGATTTAAAGCCTCCAAATTGTAAGAATAAACTCCTGTTTGTCAAAAGCCATCCCATTTGTGGTATATTCCTGTCAGAGTGGCACTGGGTAACCAGAACAATCACTGATTAGTATCAGTTCCTAATTAAAATCAGAAAATTCAAAAATAGAGTGGTCTACAAACCTACAGAGGAGTCTCAGTACTACTGAAGTCAAAGGAAAGAAAAGAAATAGGTATCCAAAAGAAGGCAGGTTATAAAGGAGTCACCTTCATGACAGTCACCTGCTAATAGTGACAAGGAGATCAAATGAATGGATAAAAATAGTGAAGTAATATTTCTCCACTTAATATTCAACCAGGATTTAGCAACTATAAGTGTTGTCCTGAGCAGCCACTGATCTTAACCATAATGATGCATGCAGAGCAGGACTGATAATGATAAACACATTTTAATTTTACCTAAATTAAGACTTATACAACTTTACCTGTGCAAAAAGAATCTCTATAATATTACTACACCATCCAACAAAGTGCCTGCATTAAATTACACAATATATTTTTTTCTCCTTAAAAGCTAATAGAATAAAGGTTCTAAAAGGAATGAATGATATATTTTCTTACTTTAAGTACATTTTTCTAAATTAACACACATGTATCTTAGGTGTGTTAAATTAAAATTCTATTAGTAACGGACCATAATGTTTTCTTTTATGTATGCTAACAAAACTGGTATGAATATAAATAACAACAATTAAAAAAAAAAAAAAAAAACTCACTGCTGTCAAGTTGATTCAACTCATAGAGACTCCTCCTTTGGTTTCCAAAGTGGCATTTCTATGGAAGCAGATTGCCCAATCTTCCTTGCAAGGAGTAGCTGGTAGGTATGAACCACCAGACTTCTGGTGAGAAGTCAAATGCCTTAGGCACTATGCCCCAGAGCTCCAAAATATAATATATATAATTTATATTTATATAAGTATAAATATACTAGATGGTAAATACCTTTTAAAATAAATTCATCAAAATCTCATTTATATGAGTATAGGTCACGGTTCAAACCCACCAGCCACTCCTCGGAAGGAATATGGGGCAATCTACGTCGGTAGCGATACTGCCTCAGAACCCCAAGGAGGGGTCACTATAAATCAGGTCTGACTTGACAGCACATAACAACAACAACAACAACAGGTCACAGTAGTTTCATTTCCCAGAATTTGGTAATTTAAACATTTTGCTATTTCTTTTTTTACATCCTGCCCTCTGGATGGTCTATTTGTAATTAAAAGTATCTAATATATGACCCCACCAGCCACTCCTCGGAAGGAAGGTTGGGCATTCCTACTTCCGTAGTGATACTGCCTCGGAAACCCAAGGAGGGATCGCTATGAGTCGGGGCCAACTCGATGGCAAACAACAACAACAACAACAACAATATATGACCAATGTATGAGGGGAAAAAACCTTAAACATGATGTAAAATGTATATACTTTTTCACCTTCACCAATAGTACTAATATTTTATTTATCAGAAGTATCTAAATCCTGATAACATATTCCAAAATTCAGCTCAGATTAAGAGAAGGATCTTAAATTATTGTTCCAAGAATATTCTCAGAGGCCAGATTACATGTCACTTCATTCTGACAACTCCACACCATCCTCACATAAAATACATGACTTAGCTATTCTGGCATGCTCTTTTATTTTATTTTACCTTTTAAATAACAATTTATTGTCAATATAATTTTAATAGTCTACCTTCCCCAGGGTTACAGGGGAGGAGAGACAAAGCAGGGATGCCCAGAGTAGTAGGCCGGAAGAGCAGGAGAAAGGGGATAAAACCCAGGAAGCCAAAGAGAAGAGCAATCAGCCGAAGGGATTAGGTGAGGAGGGGAAACTCAGGGACGCCCAAAGAAGCAGGCCAGAAGAGCAGGAGAAAGGGGATTAAAAGACAGGAAGCCAGACAGAGGAACAGTCAGCCACAGGGACCCAGGTGGGGGTGATACGAGAGGTCTCCAACAGCAAGACAAACTTGTCTGTCGGTTTGTCCTACTGTGGTGACATGTAGATGTGAGTTTTGAGGCTGAGCCACTTGTGTTTCAAACCCAACAGGATGCACATGGTGCACAGGTATCAGCCCAGCTTACAGACTGAGACAAACTATGCAGAAGGAAGAGGCCATCCACTTTTCAAAGAATTGGTCAGGGAAAATCTTATGACTAGCAAAGAAACACTGTCTGATACATTACCGCACAACTTTATGAATAGTCCAGTTAGGATAGAAGGCTCTCAAAATAGGAAAAGGAAAGTGTTGCATCATCAGAATAAGCCCAGCCTTACTCATAAGGATAAGATAAAGCTTTCAAGACCTCCATTTGCTGATGTGGCACCACTCAAATTGAAATCGACCAAACATGCATTCAAGATGTGTTAATTATTACTGGTGATCGGAGTTGGTGCAAAAGTTGGAAACAAAGAAGAATCACTGGTCGCTGAAAAATATGGTCTTTGTGATAGAAAGAATGCTGGAGATCACATGATAGAATTTTGCAGGACCAATGACTTATTCATTGCACATACCTTTTATCAACAACACAAACAGAGGCTATACACATGGACTTCACCAGATGAAGTACACAGGAATCAGATTGACTACATCTATGGCAAGAGGCAATGCAGAAGCTCAGTATCTTCAGTCAAAACCAGGCTGGGAGCTAATTGTGGAACAGATCATCAACTGCTCATATGCAACTTCAAGTGGAAATTGAAGACAATTAAAACTACCCCATGAGAGACAAAACATGACCTTGATTTTATCCCTCCTGAATTTAGAGAACATCTAAACAACAGATTTGATGCATTGCACACCAGTGACCGAAAACCAGAGGAATTTTTAAGAAAATTAAAACAAGTCCACAACAGCCAAAGTATGACCATGATTATATCCCACCTGAATTTAGAGACCATCTGAAGAATAGAGAACATTGAACACCAATGACCATAGATCAGATGAGTTGTGGGATGACATCAAGAACATCATCCATGAAGAAAGCAAAAGGTCATTAAAAAGACAGGAAAGGAAGAAAAGACCAAAGTAGATGTCAGAGGAGACTCTGAAACTTGCCCTAGACTGTAGAGTAGTTACAGCAAATGGGAGAACTGAAAGGATAAAAGAGCTGAACAGATGATTTCAAAGAGCAGCTCGAGAAGACAAAGTCAATTATTATAATGAAATGTGAAAAGATCTGGAGTTAGAAAACCAAAAGGGAAAAACACACTCAGCGTTTCTCAATCTGAAGGAACTGAGGAAAAAATTTAAGCCATGAATTGCAACATTGAAAGATTCCATGGGCAATATGGTGAGTGACACAGAAAACATCAAAAGAAGATGGATAGAATACACAAAGTCACTATATCAAAAAGAATTGGTAGATGATCATCCATTTCAGGAGGTGGCATACAATCAAGAACCAATGGTATTGAAGGAAGAAGTCAAAGCTGCACTGACGGAATTGGAGAAAAACAAGGCTCCAGGAATTGATGAAATACCCACTGAGATGTTTCAACAAACAGATGCCCCACTGGAGGCACTCACTCAGCTATGATGTAGTATTTTTTTCTTTTAATGTGTCCACTTGGCTAGATAAAATGTCCTCAGTTATTCAATCAAATGCTAACCTAGATATCTCTGTGAAAGTATTTTGCACATGAAATTAGAAGCCCTAATCAGTTCACTCTGAGGTGCTCTGGTGGTACAATGTTTAAAGCACTCAGCTGCCAAAAGAAAAGTCAGCAGTTCAAACCTACTAGCTATTCCAAAGGAGAAAGATGTGGCACTCTGCTTCTGTAAAGTGTTACAACCTTGGAAACCCTATGGGGCAGTTCTACTCTATGCTACAGGGTCACTATGTGTCAGAATCGATTCAATTGCAGTGGGTTTTTGGACTTTGAAAGTAAGGGAGCTTATCCTGATAATCTGGATAGGTCTGACTGAATCATATGGAAGGCTTTAAAAGGGGTAAGCTTTCTGAGAATGAGAAATTCCATCTTGGACAGCAGCTTTACCCCATGCCATAGAGTCCCATGTTGTTCCTAATCTCTTAATGACTGACTACACAGCAGGTTTCAGATTCTCTTAGCCACCCACCACAATCATGAAAACAAAGTACTTATAATAAATCTCTTAATATGTCTATGTCATACTCTTTCTACTTGTCTAGTTGAACCATGACTGCTGGATCAGGCATCTGAGCTATCTAAACTACTTCTATCATTTGTTCCCTGGATGCATTAATCTAATTTCATACTAAGAAATATGGTAAAATATGATGAATTATTTTGAGAACAATGCAAGAGT